TCCCTCCTCCCTCCTCCCTCCTCCTCCTCCCTCCTCCCTTCTCCTCCTCCTCCCCTCCTCCTCCCTCCTCCTCCTCTCTCCTCCCTCCTCCCTCCTCCTCCCTCCTCCTCCCTCCTCCTCCCTCCTCCTCCCTCCTCCTCCTCCTCCCTCCTCCTCCCTCCTCCTCCTCCGCCTCCTCTTCTTCTCGTAGTAGGATGATCCTTCTTAGTATTATTAGTATTAGTCATGGTAAACAAAGTCTGCTTAATAGTATGAGTAGTCGTAGTAGTGTGATTGTTCGTTTTCGTATTCGTATTGTTGGTATTCCTGTGCTTCGTGATAACAGTATCAGCTTTACTATGTTTGGTCGCCTCCGTATTATTAGTCGTATTCGTAGAAATTCTCTCGGTATTAGTATTAGTAGTACTAGTGTTAGTATCATTCGCAGTAGCATTGTTATGGCTATTACTGGCATTCGTGTTGTTATGATTAGCCGTTTTAGGTTTATTCTTCTTTCTTATAATGAGTATGGATGTTCCTCGTAGTCGTTTTATGGTTAATGCTCATCTTAGTCATCGTAGTTTTCTTCGACGTCGTGTTGGTCGTACTTTTCGTATGCGTAATATTACTAGTCGTCTTAGTAGTAGGATTCTTCTTGTTAGTAACATTACTCTTCTTCTTCCTCGTATCATTATTGTCATTCTTAGTCTCATTATTATGATAGTGCATATTCTGTTTAGTAGTAACATTCGTATGTTTATCATGTGTATGAATATTATTATGATTTGTCTTCTTCCTCCTCCTCCTCATCATCATCATCCCCCTCCTCCGCCTCTTCCTCCTCCTCCGCATCCGCTTCCTCCTCTTTCTCCTCCTCCTCCTCCTCCTCCTCCTCCTCCTCCTCCTCCTCCTCCTCCTCCTCCTCCTCCCCCGCCTCCCTCCTCCTCCCTCATCCGCCCTCCGCCTCCGCCCTCCTCCTCCACCCTCGTATCCTCCTCTCTCCTCCTCCTCCTCCTCCTCCTCCTCCTCCTCCTCCTCCATCTCCTCCTCCTCCTCCCCCTCCTCCTCCCCCTCCGCCTCTTCCCTTCCTCCTCCTCCTCCTCCTCCTCCTCCTCCTCCTCCACGTCTTCCTCCTCCTCCTCCTCCCTCCTCCTCCTCCTCCCTCCTCCTCCTCCTCTCCTCCTCCTCCTCCTCCCCCCATCCATCTCCGCCTCCTCCCCCTCCTCCTCCTCCCCCTCCCCGTCCTGCTCGTCGTCCGCCCCTCCTCCTCCTCCTCCTCCTCCTCCTCTCTCCTCCTCTCCTCCTCTCCTCCTCCTCCCTCCTCTCCTCCTCCTTCCGCATCATTTTCCTCTCCTCCTCCCCACCACCACCACCCACCCACACCACCACCACCACCACCTCATCATCTCATCATCATCATCATCATCATCATCATCATCATCATCATCATCATCATCATCATCATCATCATCATCATCATCATCATCATCATCATCATCATCATCATCATCATCATCATCATCATCATCATCATCATCATCATCATCATAATCATCATCATCATCAGCATCATCATCATCATCATCAGCATCATCATCATCATCAGCAGCAGCAGCAGCATCATCGACATCATCATCAGCATCATCAGCATCATCATCATCATCATCATCATCATCATCATCATCATCATCATCATCAGCATCATCATCATCATCAGCATCATCATCATCAGTCAGCAGCACCATCGTCATCAGCATCATCATCAACATCATCATCAACATCAGCATCATCATCAGCAACATCAACATCATCATCATCATCATCATCAGCATCAGCATCATCAGCATCATCATCATCAGCATCATCATCAGCATCAGCATCATCATCATCAGCATCAGCATCAGCATCCTCAGCATCAACATCATCATCATCACCATCATCAGCATCATCATCATCATCAGCATCATCATCGTCATCAGCATCATCATAAGCATTATCATCATCATCAGCAGCAACATCATCATCATCATCATCGTCGTTATCATCATTACCGTCATCGGCATCATCCTCAGCAGCATAAGCATCAGCATCAGCATCGTCGTCATCATCAGCAGCATGGACAGCATCATCGTCAGCATCAGCATCACCATCAGCATCATCAGCATCATCAGCATCATCATCATCATCAGTATCAGCATCAGCATCATCATCATCATCATCATCATCATCATCATCAGAATCAGCATCATCATCATCAAATCATCACCATCATCATCATCATCATCATCAGCAGCAGCAGCAGCAGCATCATCATCATCATCACCCCCCCTCCTCCTCTTCATCCAACTCCTCCTCCTCCTCCTCCTCCTCCGCCCCCCCCCACCACCCGCCTCCTGCTCCTCCTCCTCCTCCTCCTTCTCCTCCTCATCCTCCTCCTCCTCCTCCTCCTCATGCTCCCCCTCCTCCTCTTCCTTCTCCTCCTCCTCCTCCTCCTCATCATCATCATCATCATCAGCATCATCATCACTCCTCATCATCATCATTCAGCAGCATCATCATCATCATCAGCATTCATCATTCATCATCATCATCATCACATCATCATCATCAGCTCATCATCAGCATCATCATCATCCTCAGTGCCTTCATTCCGTCCCGTCCATCGTCCTGCCTACTTCTCCTCCTCCTCCTCCTTCGCCCCTCCTCCTCCTCCTCCTCCTCGTCTCCTCCTCTTCCTCCTCCCTCCTCCTCTTCCTCCCTCTCCTCCTCCTCCTCCTCCTCCCTCCTCCTCCTCCTCCTCCTCCTCCTCCTCTCTCCTGTCATCCTCCTCTCCTCGTCCTCGTCCTTCGTCCTCCTCCTCCTCCTCCTCCTCCTCCTCCTCCTCCTCCTCTCTTCCTCCTCTCTCCTCCTCCTCCTCCTCCCCCCCCCACATCCCCGCCCCCCCCCCCCCTCCTCCTCCTCCTCCTCCTCCTCCTCCTCTCATCCTCATCCTCCTCCTCCTCCTCCTCTCCTCCTCCTCCTCCTCCTTCTTCTCCTCCTCCCCTCCTCATCCTCCTCCCCTCCCCCATCCCCTATTGCTTCTCATCATCCTTCTCCTCCGCCTCCTCCGCCTCCGCATCCACATCGCATCCACATCCGCATCCGCATCCGCATTCGCATCCTCCTCCTCCTTCCTCCTCCTCCTCCTCCTCTCCTCTCATCTCATCATCATCATCATCATCATCATCTCATCATCATCATCATATCATCATCATTCATCATCATCAGCATCATTCATCATCATCGATCATCCATCCACCGCTCATCGCCTCCTCCTCCACCACATCCCCCTCCTCCTCCGCCTCCTCCTCCTCCTCCTCCTCCCCTCCAACCTCCTCCCCTCCTCCTCCTCCTTCCTCATCATCGCCATCGTCATCAGATCATCATCATCATCATCATCATCATCATCATCATCATCAGCAGCATCATCAGCATCATCATCATCAGCATCATCATCATAATCATCATCATCATAATCATCATCATCAGCATCATCATCATCATCATCATCAGCAGCAGCAGCAGCATCAGCATCAGCATCAGCATCAGCATCAGCAGCATCATTTTCTTCATCATCATCATCAGCATCATCATCATCATCATCATCAGCATCGTCAGCATCATCATCATCATCATCATCATCATCAGCATCATCATGATCATCATCAGCATCATCATCATCACCACCACCAGCATCATCAGCATCATCATCAGCATCATCAGCATCATCATCATCAGCATCATCAGCAACATCATCATCATCGTCATCATCATCATCAGCAGCAGCATCATCATCATCAGCATCACCATCATCATCCTCAGAAATCATCATCCTCCTCCGCATCACCATCATCATCAACTTCAGCATCATCATCATCATCAACATCATCATCATCACCATCATCATCAGCATCAGCAGCCTAAGCATCATCATCATCATCATCCTCAGCATCAGCATCATCATCATCAGCAGCAGCAGCATCAGCATCATCATCATCATCAGCATCATTACAATCATCAGCATCATCCTCATCATCATCAGCAGCATCATCATAAGCACCATAATCAGCAGCAGAATCATCATCAGCAGCATCCTCATCATCAGCATCATCATCAGCATCATCATCATCATCGTCATCATCAGCATCATCATCATCATTATCAGTGTCATCGTCATCGTCATCATCATCAGCCTCATCATCATCAGCAGCATCATCACTATCATCGTCATCAGCATCATCATCACCAGCAGCATCATCATCAACATCATCATCATCATCGCCATCATCATCAACATCATCATCATCCTCATCATCGTCATCATCAGCATCATTACCATCAATACAAACCATCACCATCATCGTCATCATCAATAACCATCACCATCACCATCATCAACATCATCATCATCAGCATCATCAGCATTATCATCACCACCATCAGCACCATCATCATCGTCATCATCACCATCGACATCATCATCATCATCAGCAGCAGCAGCAGCATCATCATCATAATAAGCATCATCATCGTCATCATCATCGTCACCATCATCATCATCATCATCATCATCATCATCATCATCATCATCATCATCATCATCATCATCCTCGTCCCCATCCTCGTCCCCATCCTCGTCCCCCTCCTCTTCTGCCTACTCCTCCTCTTCCTGCTCCCCCTCCTCCTTCTGTCTCCCATTTCGTCCTCCTCCTCCTCCTCGTCCTCCTCCTCCTTCCCCCTCCTCCTCCTCCTCCTCCTCCTCCTCCTTTTCACTATGTTTCCTCCTTTCTTCTTCCTCCTTTTCCTTCTCATCCTCATTCCTCCTTCCCTCTTCCTCCTTTTGCTTCCTCTTGCCCCCCCTCCTCCTCCTCCTCCTCCTCCCCCTCCTGCTCCTCCCCCTCCTCGAGATAACGGGGAACCGCTCCAGGACTGCTTGCACGACCTCTCGGGCCCTCGCCCTGCACGCGGCCGCGGCCGGTCTCCTCGGCCGCGTCCCTCTGCCTCCAGTAGTCCTCAAAGAAACCCATGTTGGTCTCGATGCTCGCGCCGTCCTGAGCCGCTCGCCAGCCCCAGTCGGCTACGCGCAAGAGTGAACTCTGGGCAAGAGTGACTCTGACAAATCCTCTCGTCGTAAAGCAATCACGACGGAGAGCTGTGGAACAACTTCAGCCTAAAGATCCAGGGGGGCGCACCGGGCCCCGGGACCACAAAAAAAAACTCGGGAGGAGGACCTGGTCCCGGGGAAGGGGCCCCTGGTCGACGCTTGGTCGCCCAGTTCCGCGGAGTATCAACAGGATTTCACAGAAACCCCCGCACTGACGTGGCCGTGCCGCTGCTGCTTCACCCAGACGTCTGGAGGACTGGTTGTCCCCCCGTGCCGTGGCTTTCATATCAATTTCGGACTCTGGGGGCCGTTTTCGAGCTCTTGGACGAGCTCTTGGACTGTGGAAAATCGATCCTGCATGGCAAGCTGACTCCAGGGAGGGGATCGCCACCTCTGGGGCCGCGGTCTGAAAAAAACATCCTCGGACGCCTGTGGGAAGAATCGCAGCGGCTGATCCATTCATGCTTCGGGCCTCTCGGGGGCCCGCTTCCCGACCCTGGGGCCGTCATGGATCCTTCAGGCTGTACTGGAGCACCGGTTATTTCAAATCACTTTTGCAAACCTTGGTGTTGTGGCCGCCTGCAGGCGCGCGCCTTCCTGCGCACGGGGCGGCGGGCTTGAGCAGAGCCACCAGCCCTTTGGGCGTGAGTGGTTTAGAGAGCTCTCTCTGTTCTCAACCCCCTAACCCCCTACTTTCCCTTCGGGGAGGGGTTTACCCCTCCCCCTACCCCTCCCCCTGGGCCTGGAGAGGGCGGGCCGAGTGCAATCAAGGAGGTCTTTTTCGACTCCTGGGAGGGCCAAAAAACGACGACCCTCACGAGGATTCTGGCCCCCAGGGGGGGGGGACCGTTTGGCGCCTCAGACCGTCTTGGAAGCAAAAAACATTGATGTTACTACGGTTTTGGCCCCATGTTGGCCTCCTGAGGGGGCCGCGCTCCTCTTCCTTCATAGCAAAATCATTGATTTTACGAAGGTTTTGGGCTCATTTTGTCCTTCTCAGGGGGCAGCGGTCATTTACGCTTCTGAGGAGGTCGCAAGAGACCCCAAGCTGGCCCCAAGAGGCCCCCAGGAGGCTCCCAAGAGGCCTCCAAGGGGCCCCAAAGAGGCCCCCAAGAGGCCCCAAGAGGCCCCCAAGAGGCCCCCAAGAGGCCCCCAAGAGGCCCCCAAGAGGCCCCCAAGAGGCCCCCAAGAGGCCCCCAAGAGGCCCCGAAGAGGCCCCCCAGAGCCTCCAAGAGGCCCCCAATAGGCCCCACGAGGAGCCCGAACGACTCACACCAGGACGAGGGGCCCGAACGACTCGCACCACGAAGAGCCCGAACGACTCACACCATAAGGAGGGGCCCGAACGACTCACACCAGGACGAGGCGCCCGAACGACTCACACCACGAGGAGCCCGAACGACTCACACCACGACGAAGAGCCCGAACGACTCACACCACGAGGAGCCCGAACGAGTCACACCAGGAAGAAGGGCCCGAACGACTCACACCAGGACGAGAATCCCCAAACGACTCAAACCACGAGGAGCGCTTTCTCTCCCTCCTCCTCCGCCTCGTCCTTCTCCCGCTCCCCCCACAAGGAGGATGTACAAGGAGGCGGGGGGAAGGAGGAACAGGGGAGATATGCGGGGCCAAGCGGACACACGCCTGAAAAACACGACTGTTGGCATGCTTCGCGAGAGTTGCTGCTGTGAGATGGGCTGGTGGGGACACGCGAAGCGTAAATAATTTCAAATCACTTTTGCAAACCTTGGTGTTGTGGCCGCCTGCAGGCGCGCGCCTTCCTGCGCACGGGGCGGCGGGCTTGAGCAGAGCTTCTAAACCTCATGATTTCTGGCCGTGATTGGGGGGCAAGCAGGTTCCTTCAGGGGCTGCTGCAGGGGGTTGCCGACGAAGGCGAACTCCTGCAGCGTGCACCGCAGCTTGAGCAGGGACCTGGGCGTCGGGAGCGGCAGGAGGAGCGGGAGGGGGAGGCACCACAGGCAGCCGGGCCGCGCGTGAGCGGTGAGGCTCCAGGCTGCGCGCAGACAGCCCGCCCCCCCCCCCGGGGCAGTCCCCGCTGGCCTCGGCAGGCTTTCCTCCTCCTCCTCCTCCTCCTCCTCCTCCTCCTCCTCCTCCTCTTCCTCCTCCTCCTCCTCCTCCTCCTCCTCCTCCTCCTCCTCCGAGTAGTCCCAGCTGGAATCAATAGGCCCTCCAAGTCCCAGCTGGCCTCAACAGGCCACCCGATTAGACCGGGGCTGGCCTCAACACCCTCACCCTGGTGCGCTCCGCGCCCAAGGGGCGCCGGTGGAGGCGGTGCCAGGGTGGTGAGACCGCTCTGTGCTGCTCGGGGGGCGTGATGAGGCCAGCTGGGACTACTCGGGGGGCCCTGTTGAGGCCGGCCAGGACTCCCTGGGGGGGCTCTCGGTGCGCAGACCGCAGCCTAACCGCCTGCGAACCTTAGCCTCGAAGGCAAGATTCCTGAACAACGCCGGCTGGGGCTCCGAGTCTAAATGATACCTGCGGAGGAGCGAGCCCCCGCGGGGGTGTCCGATACGCTCCTGGGGCCCGTGGAGGGCACCTGGAGGCCGAAAACAGCCAAAACCCTGGCGTCCCGATTTCTCCACGACATGAGGGGGCCCGTGGAGGGAAGAGGGAAAAGAGGGAGAGCAGGGACCTGGGCATCTCTCTGATGCAGTTGTGCGACAGCCGGATCTTCTCGAGCTTACCGCATTCGCCGATGTCCTCCGGCAGCTCGGCGAGTCTGTTGTAGGCGACAAACAGCTTCCGGAGCCTTTTAGGACCCTTCTCCGCACCCATCATCCTCCCCCCCCCTCCTCTTCTGTTTTTTTCCTAGCAGGTGCCCTTCTTCAGGTTGCCAAATGTGCACATCAAATCAACAACTCGATCAAGTGCGATAATGTCAGTCTGAAATGCCGAATGTGCATCCGGAGAACATGCGTAAAGATAACACATAATATATCCAGGTACCGCCCCAGTCGGATCGCGTTGCACATGAATCGAAGGTCGATATCCAGTCCAAGCCGGTCGCTTGCACCATGATAAAGAATTCGTCCACATGTGTATGATGCCCTCCGCGGGCGTGTGTCATGTGTTCGTGCTTCCGTTTCTGGGAAATTGTCAAAGCCAAAACAGTTTCCCACCATGTTGCGCCTCTTTCCCGCTGGATCGTTCCAGCGAGGGTTCCGTATCCACGTTCGTTCCAACTATACATACGCATGGTTGCGCTCCAAATGACGATGTGTATCGGTTTGGAACAACAATGGTTGTACCACCGCTCGGGCTTAAGAGCCGCTCTCTGATCATATTGCATTCAGCTTGCTGCAGGTCCCGCCGATCGCACGCGAAACAATCTGCGGAGAAGCCGCCGTTTCCACCTGACCATGTTCATGAGTAAGGTGCGATTCCAATGCGCACGTTGACAAAGAAAAAATGCCGTCGCGCATGGTCGGGTTGCCCACGCGCGGAATGTAAGACCAATCGGAGATTGCCGATCAAATGCCGACGAAACTTGTAAAACTATCTGCCACCTCTGGCAATGCGCTACTGCAGCATCGCCTCGTCTGGACGCGTTTTACAAAACTACCTCCCCAGCGCAACCATCGAGTTCACAACGCCATACTTGTAGGTGATGTCGTCGACCTCGCTACTCTGGGCCTCCGGGCAATCTAGATTCACAGTGGTAACTTCCAAAGAATTGTCCTTACAATGCCACCCATACCAACAAGATAAGATTTCGGACAAGGTCCGAGCCATGTATTTGCATTGCTGCACATGTGCTTCCAGCAAGAACAACTTTCCACCCAAACGGCCGCCCTGATCGTTAGGCCAGACTCTGGCAAGACAAGCTCCAATCCAAGGATACCCCATTATTTCTCGATTCACTTCACGGCCCCGTCCAACATGCGCACACATACTTGTATACATATGTCTACATATATACACATATACGTATATATATATATATACATATATATAGCTCGCCCCCCCTGTGATTATACCATTTGCCTTGGCTTCGCTGCTTCCCACGTTTTCCCTCTTCCGTCTTCCCCCTCATCTGCTCCCCGCTCTCCGTCGCTCCTCCTCATCCTCTAATCCTCCTTCAGCGGGGCAGTGCAACCTCGGGCTGGGGGCGGCGGGGCAGCGCAAGGTTTCTTACTGTTCTCTCGCGCTGGATCCCAGACCCTCTCTACCCTCAGGAGGGGGGTGATGAAGAGGAGGGGGGAGGAGAAGGAAGAACTATGCAATATGGGTGAGGAAAAAGATTGGCTAGATAAGACGAGTGCGATCCCGACAATGATGACCATGATGATGAAGATGATGTTGAAGATGATCATGATGATGATAATGATGACGATGACGGTGGTGATGATGATGATGATGATGAGAGCCTTACTAAAGAAGGAGTCTTTCATCAGGAACCCTTACTAAAGAATCCCGAATAACTCTTCATAAGGAATCCTGAGTACGGAATATTTACTGAGGAATCCTTGAGAAGGAACATGTACTAAAGAGTCCGTGCTAGGGGATATTTAGCTAGGAACCCTTAAAAAAGAATATGGATTGAGAAATCCTGAACAAAGAACCTTCAATACGAACTCGCTCATAAGAAGCAATCAAAACTAAGGAATCCGGAATAAGGAACCCTGAATCAGGAATTCTTTTTTCTACTGAATATTAAAAAAGGAACTCTGCATATGGAATATTGATGAAGGCATCCTCGATCAGAACACCTTGATAAGGAGTTTCTCCTCTGGAATCCTTCATACGGAATCCTGCGAAAGCCCTACGTGAGGATTCCCTCATAATGTTATGGATTAAGGAATGCCGATGAAGAAATCCTTCGCAAGGAATGTCGACTTGAAGTTTCTGAATAAAGGGTCCAATGTAAAAAATATGTAATAGGGAATCGATGAAGAATCCTTAAGAAAGAATCTCAACTAAGGAGCCCTTACTAAAGAATCTGAGCTACGGAATCCTTATTAAAGAATATGTATCAAGGAATCCTTACTAAGGATCTTTTTCTGATGAATCCTTCAAATGAAATCTGAGCGAAGAAATCCTTACTGGCCAGGCGTCCTCACGTTCGGTTCAAGAAAACGCTGTGTATGTTTTGGTTGTTTGGTTTTTCTGGTCCAGGATGCAAGGGAACACTGTGCACGTTTGCTTTTGTTGTTTTGGTTTTGCAGGCTCAAAGAGAAGCGCTGCGAGGGAGGCCGCGGCGAGCATCGGGGCCTGCAAAACCCCCCAAAAAAAATCACAGAGTTTAGTGGTTCTACAAACCAAAAGAGGGCGGGGGGGAGGAAAAAACGTGTTTCCTTACACTCAGGGCGCCAATTACTGCGTATGCTTGTTTTTCTTTGATCTGGGAAGGATGCACTGTATGTTTGTTTGTTTCTTTGTTTTTCTTGGTTTTGCACAGGCGGCGAGGGAGGCCGCGGCGAGCACCGGAGCTTGCAAAACCAGAAACACAACATGTTGTGGCTTCACAAACCAAAGAAGCCCGAAAAACAAAAATACACAGTGCTTCCTTGAACCAAGGGGGCAAACTACACAACACTCGATGACGACATGTCCTGTGCCAGGGTCAGAACCTGGCGGGACTTCGCCCCTCCCGCAACACCCTTGTTGCATCCACGTGTTCCGAATAATCAAAAGCGGTGCGTAGATCCTGAGCCCCAAAAGACAGCTCTCGACCCCACGCCACCGAGAAGCACAACGCCTCGAATAAGAAACCAAAGCAATCCTCGACTGATGATCCCTTCTTGTGCCCAATACTCGTAGCCATAGGCGGGGGTCGCATCAAGGGCGTCATAGCACCGTAGACTGTTGCGGAACACTGTTCGCTAAGTTGGTCCATCGTCCCCAACCACCGGTAGCGAGAAAAACTGCGTGGTTGCGGTTCTTTGGTGATGCCGAGCAACTCAACGTTCCGAGCAACTCAGCGTTGCTCCACGTGTCTGTATCTGTAAGCTGCCAGTCAATATCCTGAGTGCGTTCTACGAAATTCTCGCGAATGTTGATTTGCCAACGATGTGGCAAATGGCGCCATAAGATGCCTGGCAGCTGGTCTCGTCCTGGCTTGAAGTGATCCCAGATGAGCGTCAGCTGGTGCGTGAAATCTTCAACTCCCTGCAGCCCCCAACTCAAATTGTCCAAAATCCAGGACTTGGCCTCCGCCCGCACCGACTCGGCAAAGAGATCAAATGAGCGTTTCTGAGATGATTCTGCAGTAAACTTGCTCATAGCGATCTTATTCAGCGCTTCCTTACACATGCCTCTGTTTTCAGAATGCTCCCCGTCGATGTTTAATACCACTGGCGAGGATGCATCAAATACTTTAGCGCCCCGGGCCAATCTACCGTTCGGTTGTGCGTTCGTCTGCCAGGGCGAGGGTCGGCAGCACCAACTCCTTGATGTCGTATCCGTCGTATGTCGCGGACTCGCACAATCAGCTTGGTAGCTGCAGTGTCCTCGTCGAGCCACGCGATCTCGTTCAGACTGACGGCCCCAGCCGAACTGTGTTCATTACAGCCTGTCGCGCTTAATGCACCGACTCCTCCTCGTCCTCCTCCTCCTCCTCGTCCTCCTCCTCGTCCTCCTCCTCCTCCTCATCATCATCATCACCACCACCATCACCATCATCGTCATCGTCGTCATCCTCCTCCTCCTCCCCCTCCTCCTGCATCTCCTGTCCCCACGGCAAGGGCGGGGCAGCACCCGTGCTCGCCGAGGGGGAGCTTCAGCCTGCTCGAAAGCCCACCCTGCACCTGTGGGGTGCCCAGGGAAGCGCCCTGGAAGCGCCCTAGCCAGGGTATGTGTTGCTTTGGTGTAGGCTGAATGTGTTTGTTGTTTGGGGGGCAGGGGTTATCTTTGGGGCGCCTCGTGAAAGCGTCCTGGAGACGTCCTTCGGCGGCGAGCGGGGGGGAAGTGAGAAGGAGAAGGCCTTCTCAGACGGCGGAGCTTCTTAGAAGCCCTCGCACCTTCTGAGAAGATGCCTGTATCATCCGGGAAGGCTTAGAAAGCTTCTCGGAAGGTCGGGCGACTTCCGAGCCGTCTGGGAAGGCCCACCCCTTCTCACATCCCCCCCGGGCTGGCCGCCGAGTATTTTGGGGCACCTCATGGAAGCGTCGTGGAGACGTCCTGGCAGACATGGGTGGGGGGCAATCGGTACCCTGGGGGAGTCCTGTCCGCTCCCCGCCAGGGCTTGGCACTCGGGGCTCCCCGGACCCACAGGGTGGGCGGAGCAAGCTCATGGATTCGTGCCACCTGGTCAACGGGCCTCAGGGAGCAGCTCTGGCCACCACGTGTAGTTTCTCGCACCGTGTGCCCCGCATGGTGGTCGAGCGGGGTTACAGGGCCCCCCGGGCCCCGACCT